AGATGTTAGCCATGGCAAACAATATCTCCCTCTCAAAACACATCTACATACAGTAGTGGTATGATGTTCAATGGATTATCCAGCATGGAGGAACATGGAGTATGCTTTATCATAAAAAACAGGAGTGTTTTCAGACGGTTTTAATAAGAAGGGATTCCTGGCATCATGAAGTTCACTTAGGGTTGCACTGTAGCATGCTGTTCGGCAGTAATGCCTCTCAGGTCTTGGGTTGAGTTTCATTCTGGACCCTGGTGCCAGTCGGGCCAGGGTGTGGAGTTTGCATGTTCTTTGTGGAGTCATGCTCCTGTCCGTCTGAGAAATCTCAGCTGCTGTTGGGGGACTCAGTTAGGATGCCCCTTATTATCTGTATTAAGAGGGGAGGAAAGTTATTTTTATAATATCTACAAGAACACTGTACACTATATCCTTCGATTTAAATGATTATGAAGAAGTTTTTTAAACACAGAACAAAGTGCAAGGGCAAACTGTGAAGCAGAAAAGGATCTCTTCTTTTTGCTGACGATTACATTGGCAGGGCGCCACTGAACACAGTATGCTACTACAAGATGGTTCCGGAAAAACAACGAAAGCCCAGGCCTGTATTTGATCTTGTCCTCGAAATATACATGAGACACGACTTCGGGCTTTTGTGGGTAAAAAGTGTGAAGGGTAAAGACAGAACAATTTGAAAAGAAGGAAAATGCAACATGACCACAACCTGCCAAATAACACTTCTAGTTTCTAGAACGGAGTTGAATTAACTAACAAATCAGCTGTGAAATGTCCAAAAAAGGGGCACTTCTGAAAAAAATCTTCACTTTCATCTCTATTTTGGAGTTCTTGGTGGTATAGGGGATTAATTAATCTCTTATCTAATTCTATGCTGCAAAGTAAAACGAAAATATTTTCCGGCATCTATGTCACAATAAAAAGTTTAAACTTTTCATAGTCATTTCAGTTTTATAACAGATGGATTATGTCTCGCAAAGCTAAAGTATTTTTTATACAGTACTTCATTAACTTATTTTGGAACTTCTCAATCACAAATAATAAAAGTACAGTCAGAGCTCCATTTGTTGTTTTTGTTCTCATTCAATACACATCACCTACTGTATAAAGAAGGGTAATTATCTGGAGAACTAAAAATAAGTAATAAACAAGGAACATGTCTGACTCAAAGTTTGTGAAATGTGAAATAAAATGTTAGCATTCAATCTGCAATTATCCTATTTACAGCACAATAAAATATGTATTGATAATTATATGTTCCTATAACAAAGTAATGTTATATTGCATATTGTGTTATGAAAGCTTGCAGAAGTAGATGTGCCTCCCCCCCAATCAGACACAGGCTTGGGATATCTTGTACAAGAAATGATTTAAAAAAGTTTTTGGGAATTGCCCCATTTAGGAAATGGCATTGCTTATAGTCTAAGTGAAGACTTACAGTATTTGCACATCATCCACCAGTAAAGGTCCACACTTTCTGCCAAAACACGATTTATTCACACATGAAAACATCTAAACCAAACCAGGATAGCAATCAAGGTTTTCTTCTGTGCAGTGGAGTTATTAAAATTCAATGCAGCATTGCTATAGTTAGAATAAGGGAAAAATCGCATGCATCTTGACCTTTTAAGGATAAAATTGAGCTGCTGATTTAGCGGTTGTGAAACTCTTGAAATGGGTTTTGACAGAAATGAGCCAGAGAACAAGGCCTTTGTTAGTCCTTCTAATTAGTGTAAAGTGTGCTTCTGGTCCACAAGAAGCACACAAAATCACAATGGCTATAAATGAGATGTTCATGTAAATGACTGTTTGGGAAATCTTTAGAAAAGCTCTAAAAACAACTGATAAAAGGAATCTTTTAGCAAAGAAAAAATTGTAACTAATGTCTAAAGTGTGATTACTACTTGCCCTGTCCATGTCTTTCCAGACCTCTCACCCTTTAAAAAAAGAAAAGAAAAGGATAAATCAGTGTCAGTGTACTGTTAAACTATTTTGAGAATTACAGAACTGCAAAATAAAAGAGCAAAACATAGGGCCAAAGAACATCAACAATGACAGACCCGAGGGAACACTACCTTTTAACCATAATAGGCCCCAGGAATCCCTGGATATATTTAAAAAGAACATTCTCAAGGTTTTAATATTGACAACATATCACATTGGTCAATGTCTGGCCTGATGCCCTCTTAACAGTTTTAAAATACATAATTGTGGTACTGGCCTCTGTGAAGGGCTGGGTGGAATTGTTTACCAGCCCATACACTATTACAGTAGATAGGATGCTGTATTCTATATTAGAGTTGTATACAGGACAGGGTTGTCTATGAAAACTGACATCCCTAATTTTGAATATTACCACAAGATTAAAAAAAATCTGTAGTACCATTTGCCAGGGTCAAGGGGTATATTTTAAAAAATACAGTAACTTGCAAATGTAAAGCAAAACACTTAAGACATTTTTACATTTACAGGCAGCACAGTAACGTCAGTCACACATCTAGAAAATAAAGGATCTCCAAAGAACATACCAATGTTCTTACAGGGCAGACACACTAAACTTTAAGCAATGCCTATCAAGTATATCCAACACCATTAAAATCAGACCGGCAAACCACTTGATTAAATGGCTACAGTCTTGTTCTTAATCTTCATTTAAAAATTTAAATAATTTAATTAGAGCATGCTTATCTTTCTGATCACCAAAAATGGTCTTCAACAAAGCAGGTTATCCGACTACAGCCTGCAGTGCCTTACTGAAATTAAAAGCAAATCACCTCTACATTCTGCAATTTGGAAAATATGCTCTCAGCACTCACCAATGAGACGAAAGCCCCTTTTTAGTGCAACAAGTAATAAGATCCTCTCACAGTTTATCTCTGGATAGCATAATGTGGCAGGCAGGCTAAGAACATTCAGCACATAACCTCACATTACCTTTTTAGGAATCCTAATGTTTAAGAATTAGGTTGGATGACTTATGCAGTGTGCACACTATCAGCCACATTAATTGTGTAACTGCTAAAAGCTCAAATCCTCAAGAAAAGGGGAGGCCCAGTGACCGCACTTATTTCTAACAGATGTTCCATTAACTCGGTTGAAAACAACCTAAGCTATAACAGACGATACTGCTTCTAAGGTGGACAACAGTACAACTATCTCAGCATACAGTATCTCTAACAATTCCAAGGCATGGCAGGCTTATCCACTAGAAAACTGATGCAAACTTTTTTTTTTAATCCTTTTACATACAGTAACATCTCACAGCAGAATCACCGTAGAACAAAAGTTCTGGAACCAGACTCATTCCGTTAGGTTAATTTGAGAAAACATGACACAGGAGAAAAAAAAAATTAAAACAGATGGGTTTAACCATTTACTTCCCCTTCAAGATAAACGGCCAGCAGCCATATCACCCTGTAACTCACAACTGGCAACCCACTGAAGCTAAGCAGTATGAGCAGGTGTGAGCCTGGTCAGTACCTGGATGAGAGACCTCCTAGGAAAAACTAAGGTTGCTGCTGGAAGAGGTGTTAGTGGGGCCAGCAGGGGGCACTCACCCTGTGGTCCACATGGGTCCCAGTATAGTGATGGGGACACTATACTGTAAACAGGTGCTGTCCTTCGGATGAGACGTAAAACTGAGGTCCTGACTCCTGTGGTCATTAAAAATCCCAGGGTGTTTCTCGAAAAGAGTAGGGGTGTAACCCCAGCATCCTGGCCAAATTTCCCATTGGCCCTTACTAATCATGGCCTCTTAATAATCCCCATCTATGAACTGGCTTCATTACTCTGCTCTACTCCCCACTAATAGCTGATGTGTGGGGAGCGTTCTGCTGCACTATGGCTGCCGTTGCTGCACATTGGTGGTGGTGGTGGAGGGGATCCCCATTACCTGTAAAGCGCTTTGAGTGGAGTGTCCAGAAAAGCACTATAAGTGTAAGCAATTATTATAATTATAAATATGGCAAAGGTGATTCTGTAATCATTCCTTTACATTTAAGCCACATATGATATTCTACAGTGCAAGTTTAACTGGGCATAATCACTCAGACTAAATTATAGTGATAGTCAAAGCTGTAAACTAAATCAAGAATAGATGTTCCTTAAAGAGCTGCATTTTAAGAATGTTTAGTACTAGACTCTCCCTTCTGTTTAAACTACTTTCCATTTGGGTTTCTCCATTTACTCTACATACAGAGACAGTGAATTTTATACTGATAGAGCCAATGCTTCCTCCTTAGGGCACATACAACTAGCTGCACCTCAGCAGCTCACACTGGTTTATTATACCCCAAGTGAAAACTGTCAGTGTTTCTCCTTTAAATACTTCATTACATAATCCAAGTATTCTACCTACAGTATTACAATGGGGACCCACATACTAGTTTTACCAGAACTGTCCATTAATACACTTAAACCTATTGCATAATTTGGCTTAATTTTAACCCCTTGCTTTCAGCTCCTTAATGTGCAGAGGGCTGCCTTTTAACTTTTATGAAATTCTAGAGTATATGATGGATCAATTTTTATACTCTCCTACCAATAAGGCTTAGCATCAGCAAGCATCATCATATAGGCTATCAAATTTTAGATGCCACTTTTCAGCATGTAAATTGATTAGAGCTCATCATTTAAACCTTTTAATTTCTTTAAACCACTAAGCAACCCCTACATCGGAATGCTGAACTTGGGATTCCAAAACTAAACCTCCGAGCAATACTCACCCATGGGTGGGGGAAATCCAACCAATTCGTTTTAAACTAAACGAATTTTGGCGGCCTGGCAGGTTCCTTCTATACTAAAATGTTGCTAAAAGTAAAAATCCTTTTGGATTGCAACCAAATAACCCTCCCTCCCCCCCAAAAATAAAGCATTTTAGGTTTATCTGTTTATTATCCAGTTTCACATTCTCTGATCAGCAATTTTACAGCAATCTCATGTCAGCAGTCCTTTTAAATCCAACAGTTCAGCCACTGTCAATACTTATTTAACACCAAGCCCAAAAAAAAATACAATTGCACTTAACTACTTCAAACAGGATATAGATAGAATCAGCATTTTTCAAAAAAAGTCTAAACATTAACTTATACAGATTACTTAATTGCACAAAATGCATAAATATTTATTAATTACACAAACGTACAAAAATACTTGTACTACTTTTGTTCAGATATACTCCAAACAGCTGTCTGATATTTTGGCAAGACCAGGTTTTGTCAAATGAAGATGCATTCATATTGTCTGTAGAAGCTGGGTCATTGAAGTAGTTGCCCATCCTGGACACGTTTGACTGTTGATATTGTAAAAGAAAAATACCCAGTGCATAAGTTGTCCACATTGAACAAAAAAAAAAACTAACTAGAAATTGGCCTCTATCTTGCAAGTAACATCTTAAGCAACTCAAGCCAAAAACCTTCACAGAAGCAAGCCTAAGATACAGAAAACAAAGGGTCAGTTGACTAGGCCGAGACCTGTTGCTAAGGCAACACAAGCACTATAAAACAAGGATACACAACTTTGCATTCTAATTCATGCCAGATACTTTAACATGCACAATGATTGTCTCACATCCCCCCCAGAAGAGCAGCTATATCATTTTTGTCAGCAAAACAGGTCCATTTCTGCAGTAACGTGGCCTTGCACAGGGTTTTAAGTGCAAAGTTTGTACCGTAGTAATTAGCCAGATAGGCCTCAGCTTCATTTTTTGTAGTCCACAAGATGGTTTCAGTTCAAAACACCTTCAGAAAGATCTGAAGGAAAAGAAAAAAAGTCCATAATGCACCTTTGTCCATTAAATAAACCTGATTAAATTAACGCAGAGCTCCGTACATCCTGTCACTTCACTCCACAGAAAAAACTCAGGTACTGAATGGTATCTGCAATTCAAAGGGGGAGAAGAAAAAAAAAAATCAGTTGGTGCCAGTGACATTCTGAAAAGGCAGAGCTAAAAAGCCAAGAACACTTTTACGCTTATTTTTCAAAAGGAAGATGCATCAAAACAATTTAAAGAAAGTTCCATAAGAGGCTTAAGGTTATGAAGAAAGAGTTATATAAAGCTTGTACAAAACACATGGTTGAAACGCCTACACTGCATCTTAACCGTGCCTTAAGACAGAGGTACTGTCTTTGTATAGCACTTCATTTACTGTTAAACACAGGACTCCCCGATTACATTTTGTAAACCAGAACATTGATTTAAAAAAAAAAGAGGGATGGGAATACTTACTAAATACTTAACAAAACTGACGGGATTTCCATCCTTGCTGGGTTGCTTCAGAGGGGGAAGGGTACCAGCGCATCTGAAAAGATTTGGGGGGGGTTGAGAAAAAGTGAGATCCTACGATTCCAAAGTTCAAGCATGCATCTTGGAAGGCAACTTGATCTTCAGATACTGCCTCTTAAAGTGATGCCTCAAAGGCTGAGTCAAGGAAGATGTCATGGCAACAGATTTAAAAACTTGGGAGTTAAAACCTCAACCCCCTGCCCTCCATTCCACTATAACATCTGGTTTGAATTGGGTCTTAACTTCCCCAGGAACATGGCCATGGAAACTACATTTGTCAGCCCTGTTCAAAGAGTCAAGCAGCCAGTGCACCCACAAGACGTGAGCAGATCCCATTATCAGATCGGGCTCCTGGCCAGGAACATCCTATTACAATATTTAGGACCCTAGAACATGCATCCTGCTTTGAGGATCAGTCCTTTTGTCACTTAGGTTTCAGACTACAGAACATTGTGCTGCCTATACCAGTGATACCTATATGAATCTCACCAAGTAATGACTGAAGACAAAATCAACATGTCAGGAAAACTACATTGAAAAGTTATTTATAGTGAAGTGCTATGAAGTTAACACCATAATTTGCTGCACTTATAGCAAAAATGATTCCCTTCCAGTACAGGCTGGTTGAGTATCGCTAATCAGCACTGGAAGAGAACACTTAAGGCTTGGACCAGCGGTACGAGGACATGAAGGAATTCTGTGTAAGAACAAGTGGGGGAGATAATGACCTTTGTGGCATCAGAAGATTATGTGGACAGAGATGGGAGGAGCACTGTATGGTTTTGATGGCTCTTCCCAGTTTCTGAATCTCACTAAATTCAAATTACGAGACTTGCATTCTCCATCACTTCTTAAGACCGATCTTGTCCATTTAAGGACATGGGAAATTGCTGTACAATAACTGGTACTTGAGCAAGACAAAGCATCCCCCCCCCCCAAAGAGATGTCACATTCAGTTCAGAACACTGGGCACTGGATCTACTTATTTAAGAACTTCCTTTAAACATGTAGCATTGCCAAGGCACCTATTGTCCTTTTAGAACCCTGATTACAAGATCTGTTAATGTTATACAAGCAAAACAGATTAAGTAGAAACCAGATCATTTAACAATTAAGTTTTCTACATCATGCTCAAGTATTCTCCATAATACATTTCCAATAAGACATTATTGTAGCTAGGGGGTTACACGCTAAAACTCAAGACCACAGCCTTATTAAAAAACCAGCTCCTCCAGACCATTCCCAATTAGTCATTCATGCAGAACCATAAGCCTTACAGCCAGCTAAGCAAGAAGATTGTAGGTTCACAGAAGTAGACTTGCACACTGTAGTGACAGCCTTCCTCAGGGGATCAAGAAAGATCCAAGAGTATTTTCTAAAGAATTGTGCTTCAGTGTTGTTTCTTGCAGGAAGACTGACTCTTGTTTTAAACTGCATATTAAGCATCATGTTACTTTAAAAATCACTTGCAACAGGTTAAGCACTCGCAAGAACACCTACAGTACAGTAAAAGTGAGAAAGTGCCAATTCACAATTTAAAAGGATGACCACAGCTAAGATACAGTAGTCATTCTGTAGGTACAATGCCTGGATTTGTGAAACTATAACATATCTACAGTGCTCTGCAAAAGGATACAAACGTCTGGTTTTCACATTTTGTTTTAAAGTGGCAACAAGGTTTATATCTAACCTACTCCACTCAAAGCAAAAAAGCACATGGATGATACAAATGAAAAATTTAAAAGTGATAATCTTTAAGCTGTGATAAGATGGCAAACCAAAATTTTATCCTATGGCCTAAGAATTTTGAGCACCTAGTTTATGGTCTCTGTAGATGTGCATTAATAGAAGTTCTTATTTTGAAATCATGGTCTGAGATTCTTTGGTTAGGAAATTAAATTTCAAGCAAGAGTTCACCATGAAGACCAAAGAGACTTCAAGGCAAAAATCAGGTATAAAGCAATTGAAAGGCCCTGATCAGGAGAAGGGGACAAAAAAAAAACTTCAAATTTCTTGGTCACTGCAATCCTGGCCTGTATGGTAAAGTGGAGACCCCCCCCCATCTCAAATATCACATGGGGTTTGCAACAAAGCACCCATGATCCCATCCTGTAAGAAGTGTGGCAGAAGATATGATCAGATGCAACCTCTCCCAGTCAACACCAGCCTTGCAGTTAAAGCAAGGTGATGGCAGGATTGTTATAGTTCTCTCTCATTACCCGGGACTGGGAAACTTGTCAAGACCGATGGGGACATGGATGAAAAAGTAGGGCAATTCTCAACTGGTTTTCCTCTTTAAAGGGGATAAAATAAAAGGGACAATTCAATTTTCAACAGCTATACAAGTACAAGATCAAAAAGTGCATTGTAGCAGCTTAAGAATAAGACTAAATGGCCTCGAGTGACCCAGTCAACACCCCGACTTAAATCCTGAGAAGCTGCGGAAAGAAACAGTCGTCCATAAGCAACTCCCAAATTAATCGGCCAGGAATAATGCATGCTGGCCTATTGCACTTTTTGTCTAAAGACAGTGACATAACCAACAAAAACTGCTGCCCAAGGTGCCACAGGTACAAATGCTTGGTCAAACATCTCAGTTTCTGCTAACTGACTTATTGTCCCTTAGTCTTCAACTTGAGCTTTCAGGTTTTGAAGACCATATTCAAGTATACACAATAGGAATGTCTGAATACTTTTGCAAGGCACTGTAATGGAGCCTTAAGCAGACAAGCTAGAGAAAAAATAGCTTTTCTTCACATTTGCCTACAAGAGGGAAATGTCAAAACTAAAATCAGACTGAAGATCTTAGTTCTGCAGTTTACCCACTATCAGCCCACAGTGATGTTGTGGGTGGAAGGCATCTACTGGTGTAGTCTGTAAATTCCCAAAGATGTTAAGCTAACATTTCTAAATATACAGTATTGGAGCTGCACAGAAATAATGCAGTGGGGTGGAAAATCCCTCCCCATGTTAAGACACGCCGTTAAGGCAATGCTTGGTCAACCCTTTTCATCTTTGACCTTTTGCTTTTTATAGGTCATTGCCAAGGCAACAATTTCAAACTGACTGGTCGATCAATCTTTATAGCTCACAGGCCTGCTCTTGCATAGCCAGTCACCTTTGATTAACTCTTTAAAGTGAGCAGCATTAAATATTAATTCAGCCGAGACTGCTGCAGGAAGACCTTATTTGAGGCTTCGTAGCCTTAGATCAAACAGTGGGTGCAATTTGCATGGAAAGAAGCCATAACTTCCATGCATGTGGTACATTTCATTCTATGCATTTTCATTAAAAATGAACCTGTATTTAGAAGTAAAAAAAAAAATGAACTTCTGAGATTGAAGTGTGCAATACAGACAAATAAATGGGCATGAGTAACTTACCATGTTCAGGAAATTCTTCTAGAGTTTCCCAGAAAATGGAGCAAACACCCAGGACTAAAGCCATACTTTTCTAGCTGAATGAATTTACCCTTAAGTTTTTTTTAAAAAGTTCTTTAGGTTAATATTGCTACTGGAGAACGTTTACTGGAGTCTGCTGGTAAACCAATCTGCTTCCTATCCTAACTAGAAGTTGTTCATCAGTAGCAAGATAATAATCAGCAACAGCCATCAGCACATAACCCGGCCTCAAGATGAGAGGCTGCCCGCTCCCAGCCAGACGGGGGTCCGCAGCAGCGAGCAAGTGCGCGCACACGGGGACCTGGCCTCACCTGGGCGTGAAGGGCTGCAGCCGCCGCCGCCGCCGCGGGGTAGGTGAAGGCGGCATGAGGGATGCCAGGGGTCAGCTCCGTGGTGTACAGGGGATAGGGGGCCCACGCCTCCGGAGAGGCAGGGATGAGTGCTGCTCCTGTCAAGTCATCTGCAAACAAAAGCTCCCCGGTCAGTCGGCAGCCAGATTCCCCAATCGTCAAGCGGAGAGGGACGTTAACCCCAGCTGGCGACCCACCTTCACCCCTCACCCCATCACTCACGCCTGGCTCATAACCTCTAGATTTATAACTAGCCACCACGCCAACAAGGCCAACAAGGCCTTAGGTTTCCCCACTCAACCACTTCTTTGAACCCCCTTAAAAGATGTGGAGTTTTCCTGCTGAATCGGTTGATTCAATTCCAGCTTCTCAGAGGAGTCGGCAACCAGCAGGGCATCCGAGAGCCTGCAAATGCTACAGCAGCACTAAACCGTAATATCCTGAAGGAAGGGGGGGGTCCCTTGAGACAGTTTGCAAGAATCAGAGCTGGTGCTGCAAATTTCCTTTTCCTCTAAAGTCCCCCTAGATTCAGAAAGCAGATCCTGCTAGATCTTCACATGAGGAATACCCAGTAGCCCCTGTTCCACTTCAAGCCAGTTGCTCCGTCATGTGTCAGTGTTAAATGTGACTAGAGGTTTTGTACCGATGAAGCAAAGGCCTCCTGCAGCCAAAGACATGCACGTGGGAGTGAATCCGTTTGACCTCGTTACAGGCCCCGAGGGCACGACTCGGACCGCGGTGCAAGAGTGAGCTCCGTGTGCAGCTGTACACTTACATGGGTCCCGTGCAATGAAGTGTGCTCCTAGAGCTGGGTGGATATTTGTGGGGTTCGGTGTAGCCATCAGCTTACTCTTTGCCATCTTCGTATTGGCTTTTGCAAACTCTAACCGCAGGGTCTGTGGGCTTTCTGGGTCAAAGCGAATTCCCTGGGAAGAAAGGGACAAAATGAAGGAAGTGGGCAGAGCCAGCCTTGGCAGACCCCGATGTGAATGGTGCCCTTGATTTGTGCCTGCATGCATGCACACATTTATTGGCAGTGAATGCCCAAATCTTGTCTGGACAGTGTTTGGTCATGGGGATGATAAACTGCTGTTTAGATAGATTTCCCTTAACAGCATCCTGGATGTCCATCTGAACAGACAGCTTTAGTATTCTCACTTTAGCAGCTAGAAAGAATCTGGTCTTATGGGCCATTTAGCTAGTAGGAACAAATTAAAAGCGCCATCATAATTGCTTGAAATTGTAGAATTCAGATTCATTCCACAGCATTCAAAGCTACACATTTAAAAAGTGCACACGTGTGCGTGGGAAAGGGGGAGGGAGTTGTGCTTTGTGAATGAGTCAGAAGTCACCTTCTATTCTTTCATTTTAGGTCTACTTTTCAAGTAGACTAGAAGGCAAATTAAGGAGTAACATTTCAATAGAGAACAGGTATTCAATTAACAGAATAGGTGGTCATAAGGCTAAAACGGATAGCAAGGAGGGGAAGTCTTAGAATCTAAGATGGCAGCATTCCTCCTTTGACTATTCAAATGAAATACTAACAAAGTAAAGCCTGGGTGAGGTTTCAGAGTTCACCACGAAGCCTGCTTGATCCAAATAAATCCAAGCCACTGGTAAGGAGAGAAGGCTAACTCTATGCAAGGGATTTGTTGGCTTCTTATTTCTCTGTAGTATCAGTGTGGAGACCAGTTCCCCAGTCTGAAGTTTCTTCAAAAAGCCAGCATCATTCAGAAGAACCTCACATGTTCCATCTTAATCTTTTCTTTTTCAATCCTAGCAAGATGTGGACAAGCTCCCACTCAATAATTCAGAGGTTCCTTCGCGTCGTGTTACTGCCGGATGGGTGCTTACGTTTAATGCATTTTTTGCCGCTTCAGCACCAGAACGGCTGTCAAAGGTAACAAACCCAACAGGCTGGAAGAAAGAGAGAAAGGTTTAGTAATAGTTCTTACCAGACCTTGCTAGATCCTACAATTAAGAGCCATTAACAGCAAACAGGGAATTAACATTGACCCCCTCCTCGTTTCTAATCAAAATGAACAAAATCAGTGCAAGACTAAAGAGATACTAGATAGGGGGGGAAAGAGGCAATAAAAATACCCATCTGTCACATGTGTTTAAACCCATTTGGATCAGTTGCTTCCCAGTTTACATGTTGCACTAAGAGCAATTTTACAAGACTCCATCTGGAATTCAGTCTTCCACAGAGAAACTTTTAAAAGCCCAACAGTTTATATTGGGGATGTGGAATGGCAGAGACTGCCTCTTGAGCAGCAACGTGTAGATTAAACATTTACAGAACCCCAAATGCACATCTGATGTATAGTTCTTAACTCACTTATTTTAAAATGCAATATGCACAAGCACCAAAAGCAATCTAGACTTTTAAACCTAAAGTTTAAAGAAACCGCATATAGCTGAATGCCACATAATCAAACTAATTGACACCAACATCTGCACAGTCACGGAATTATGACCAACTAAAAAAGGTCAAAACAGCATGAAGTACAAGAGGAGACTGATTTCCCAATAATTTTGGTTGGCCTGTTCATTGCCGTCAGAGAATGAACACCCTCCTGATGTATTGATGACAGAAGCCATCCAGATCCATGCAGAAGGCAGCTATTTCAGTTCAAGTTCTGCTGCTCAAAGACTATTTACAATAATTCATAATTACTGTATTCCACATTTTGCTACTCTCCAAAGCATGGAATTTAAAATAAAATGAATTGTCTCCGTGATTAGGAGCCAAGTGGAAAAGCAAGAAACAGTCCTCAGAGGACCCGGGTTAGATTTAAAAGGTGGGTTGATCATAGCAGTCAGCATTTTACTCAACATTTCTACCTGGCGAAGGAGGCCTGGAGCATTAAACTCACTGCTCGGGACATTTGCAGGACCTCAAGGGTTTATAGTTTGACAGCCTGCCATCCATTAGCAAAAAATCTGCCATAAAGACCACAACCAGTAACCCACAGATTGTTGGCTCCAAATTCATGTTCTCCGGTAGACTACCCAATTGTACTGCTGAAGGAGGAATCTTTGTTGGTTAAAACTTGAGCCTAGCGAGCAATATTAAATCCAAGTGCCCAACTGGACACTTAACATTAACATACAACAGGCCGATGAGGTGTCTATATATGGATGACAAGTTTGTATGCAATTCTATAACCTTAGGTGGTACAACTTAAGAACATTTTGGTTAATACAGCAATTCTATAGAATATTTCAGCATTTTCAAAGTTTAGAAAGATTGATGCATTAGTTGTGGGATAAAACAGGAGAAAATGGGTTTGATGTGAAAAAATTTAGATAATTTTACTTGGGGAAAAAAAGTGGCCTACCTGCTTGGATGTTAACTTAATCAGTGAACCTTCATAACCCTGTAAAAGCAAAATACATGTTATTAACAGCTATTAAACACCTCACTAGACAACTCTCTATACAAAAATTGGATTTTATACCCAAACCTTCAAAAAAAAGTCAATTGTACAGTGTTCTACCAATTTCAGACTCCATACCAAAATAATGGTTTAAGTTCCCCATGTCATTAACATCAGGACATCTTGACTGGGACTCAAACGGTAATAGACTATGGAGTAATTTCCTCCAATACACAACACAGGGGAAAGTTCTAATATCTTTAGGGTGCCTGTATATTATAGGTCATCAGGACGGTTACATTTGAGCCAAGATGTGAAAGCTTTAATTTGCTTATTTCAATGTTAAGTGGGACCCTAGGGCAGATATAATCTAAAGCAGTATACAATAAATGAAGATGAAGGTGAGCAAGATAGGAAAAATGTAAAAAAACTGAAGTGAGCACAGGATAAAGTCCACAATTCTGGTAAATGGGGATTTACATTGCAGTGCAGATTTAGATAATTTAGTCCTATGCTTTCAACACCACCACAGATGCTTAACCACACTATAGAAAATCTGCAAGTAAATTGATTGATCACATTTCAAAAGCAAATTGCAATTTCATTCAGCTTAAATAGAAAGTCCCACTGTATCATGTCTAAAATGTTAGAATCATTAAAAACAGGCGCACTTGAATACAAATCACATCAAGTTCTAATTACGCAGCCTGGACTTTTTTTTGCGTCATCTTTCACAACACATTAAGGTGTCCATCAAAATGGAAATTGAAAGCTAAAAGAAATTTAAGATCAGAGTTACCAGCTTAAGATTGAATGGATCTGAAGATCATGCCACAGTCCTAAAGCAACAAGATTTTCCCCACTATTGAGCCTTTTTTCAGTTGCCAATCCCTCCAGAAGTCAAAAAGCATGAACTATGTACAGTAGATGTAAATTGATTACTTCACTGTTGTAGTAGGGAGTCACACTGTTCAAGCCATTACACCAGAATCCACAGTGAACCAGTGCAAGGAAGCTAAAACAGATCATAAATTGCTCTAGACCAAGAAGCCAAGTTTTGAACAGGCTAAAACAGTTTGGATGCACCAGCAAGTTCTACAGTATGAGCATCAAGACAGAAAATGGTAAAGCATGCATTAGCTGAGCAGCATCCATACACATCCCTTCAAATTGCAATTCACACTGGATGAGGTCTTCATACGTGTAACTTAATGAGCCTCAGATGAAGAATCCTGGGGTGGTTTTTCCACCCAAATTCTTGAACAGATTTTGGGACCATTAATGGCAAAATGAAAGTGGAGTTAAGTCAAATCAACTTTAATCTTGCCCAAGTCCAGATGTACTGTAAGAATTATTCAATCTGGTTGCAACATCTATGCAGTCTTGGTTTCATGTCAAGAACTTCCAGTTACTCTTTTTGGCATCAGCTTTGTTTCTATGTTGATGACATCCAATGATAACAGGTTAAGGAAACTAGGCCATTAACAGAATCTTGAGCAATGCCGGATATGACCAGTGCTCACAGTGATTGCAGTTCAGATTACCCCGTTATCTAATGATCACCGTAAAATCCAGCTCATCCCATTTCTTCCTTTCCCCCCCACAACAAAAAAAAATGGATTTCACAAAAGAATAGCTCTTCCTGGTGCAATTTTTCCCAATAAGCACCTCAAACACTTGCCAGCAATGTTTACACCTTGCAATAAGGACTTTTACCAACACTGTAGCTTTTGGCACAACACTAAAACCAGTGTAACCATAGAAGTCCACAAACTGATGAGGGATATCAAGTTTAGGATCAGCCACTTCAATATGAACATCCTTACCTTCAGTTCTTCAGTGGGGTTTTAAAAAGACCAGAAAAGTAGTTTTCATTTAATATACTTCAGTTATGAATGGCAGTGAAGTGTGCAATAGAAAACAACTACCATAAGCAAAGGTAGGTTCAGCGGTTTTGCTTGGGCGATAACTTCAGTATTTCAACAGAGAATATAGTAAATCACTTACATTGTTTTAGAAAAACAGTTTACATAATCCTGAGCAAGAATACTGCTTTCAGTTTGGGTTTCCCGTTTGTGGTAAGGATTGGAGACAATAGCAGAATAAAAACAAGGGATCACTACCACGGACACATTCTGAACCAGGATGGCAAAAACATTGCTGAGAGGCAGTGTTACTCTGCAGTCCTCATGTAAACCCACTTGACCTACAATAGTATCACTTGAAGACTTGTTTACCTTGAATGGTCTGAATAGCAGGTAGAGTTCCCGTGGTTTGATGTCAACTGGCAGGCCGCTGACAAAGAGAGTTCGTACCTACAAGAACAAGAATATGAAGGCACATTCATCACAGTGCACAAGCCCATACTGCGCAGTAATATGAAACGGGTGTGTGGGTGGGTAGGTGGCAGGGGCGGATCATGGCTCTTTGGATAAATACTTTATTCTGCAACTCCTTTTCTGAAAGGGTAAAAGCACTGCTACAAAATGCACATAAAACCCAGACACTGAGCAAGCTTCTGCATATATAAATGGGATCAGTTTTTAACAGGGAAATAAAGTAATCTAGCACCATCACAAAAAACATGCTACAGCAAAAGTACTACTTGAGAGAATTTAGGACATTTCTCAACTACAGTATTTCACCCTTACATTTGGTTATGTACTCCCTTGAATCAGCTAATAAGCCACTTATGACCCAAGTCTGTAAAGACATGCCCTCTGAGTGCAAGTTGAACTCATGATATCTGGGTCATTGAGTATAAGATTGTGTCTTGTCACCAGCCAGCCATAACCAGGAATCCACAAATAGAAACCGATTGTTTAGCACCAGCATGGGACTCTCGAGGTGCCTGCAGGCTCACCTTTGTATGATGAGGATACAAAAACCATATCACCCCCCATTAGTTGTCCACAATGGACAATTACAGGAAGTCTAATCCCAAGGGATGGCAACAATACTAGTTCTGAAAATTGATTCTGGCAGGACAGTCACCAGTACAAGATGGGTAAGCACCACTCCAACTTGAATGTTGGGGGATGAATCAGTGGTGCAAGTGTGGTCTTACAGTATAGAGCAACTAAATATCTGTGTGGTGAATGCCCATTCAATATTCAGCATCTTCAAGAAATGTAGGTACTGAAGGAGTAATGAGATGTCACAGATCTATAGGATGCATGATGGTACAGTGGTTTGCATTTCTGCCTCACTGTGAAAACTCCACACAGAGGCCCCAGCACTTCCTCACCATGTTCACAATGGTTTCCATCCACAGTCTATAAATAGACTGGTGGCTTAGTTAACTAGAAACACAAATGGGTTGGTGCGAGTGTGCCCTATCATGGACTGGCATCCCATCCGGGGTGAATGCGGCCTTGAACCCATTGCTTGCCAGGCTAGACTCTGGCTCCCACACAACCCTGTATTGGATAAAATGGATCTTACAGACATTTTCAGGTCCACCACAGGCAATAACATTCAGCTTTATTTGAGTGTTAAATGGCAGTTACCACCATAACATTATCGACTAAATACTAACACCTTTCCAGACCTTAAGCTACTCATACACACAGTATAAACAGGATTCATTCTGGTTATTCCAGAAAGTGTCGCAGGATGGTGTTTTCAAGAAGCATTAAAAAAAAAAACACAGCACATCTACCTATATGCAGATGTTAAGGCATTGCAGCTTGTATTGAAGATCTTTAAATCTCTCAATAGTTAAACAGACTAGAAGTATCTGAGCAAGAGATCATGCAAGACTGTTCTTGAAAAGACCAGATAAAAATGTGCATAATCTATTTGGCATTTATTTTGTAGGTTTAGTCAACCCACATAAGTGATGTCCCTGAACCTATTAATATGTTTTTGTAAGGCATCTATTGCCAAACATGCATCTACATTTTATAAGTGATCCATAATCAGTTAATATGCTTTTTGAGCACTATAAACTCAAAGGGAAAAGTTACTGCCTAAATTGACAGTAGTTAAGTGCACATTCCACATTAAGCAGAGGGCAACACTTCTTGTGGTAAAAAGAATAGGTATTTTGCATGCCAACAGAAAATCAAGTGACCATTACAAATGGGGCAAGAGGAATGGTGAAAAGGTGTGTATTTATGCCCATAATTCTTTGCTCAGCAGTCTGAAGTACAAGGTATAGTATTTTGCCTTTAGTTGAACCGTAATGTGACAGCACTACAAGATGTAATATTTGACCTAAATCCAGAAGCACTAAAAAGAATTCACTTAAGATGCTTTTCTAAGCAAAAAGAACTAGGACCTGGTATAAACTGCTGGCTGTTTTTTTATTTTAAGTTTCAGGACAAAAAACTATGCTCCACATAGATAACCATGTAAAGGCTAGAAGGGGGTATCCCATAAGGCTGGGGCAGATCTAAAGCTCTGGACATAAATTAGCTCTTGTAGTAGCTGTTTATATGGCACATAAAACATAAGCCAAGACTGATAAAAAGTAAATTTTCTGAGCTGGCCTTTTATGGAGACTTAAATAAAATGCTATTTTAAGCACTGGCAGGACATTAAAAAAAAATGCTGGAGATAAAGGATTTTCTGCTAATGTGGCATTTTGAACTTTACCTTTCACGACCATGAATTTCTGCTGTAATGGCACAAGGAAAAAAAGGCTATAACTCATGGTCAAGGATTTTTCAACATGCAAATATGTAACAAAGCTGACTGGCAAGCAGGAAAAGAGGCCAGTTTCCCCTGTTCAATGCACATCTTTAAGTATATGACAAACAGGAATTAAATTCCATAACACCTGAATTATGCACTCATGCGCAAAGTGGCCAAATCCATGCATTCAGAGAACTTGACACTTTCAGGTACAATAAAATATAGGTCAAGGAAACAATAGAACTAGAAATGTTATTGACAATTTCAGAACAGGGGGAGGGACTTCAACTACAGCTGGTTGTGAAGGCAGTAAGAGACATTTCTGCAACAGTGAGAGGATCCCAAGATCAGTCATCACCTCAGCAGTTTAAACCACCCCCCCCCCCCCCAAACTCCATTCTGCATCAATGCAATGTTAAAAATTTTAGCATAAGCATTTTTGTAGTGGCTGTGGAAAGATGCATTGGATAGCACTAGGGTTTATTTCACTATGGTCAGAGTTTTGGGATGTTACCAGCTTATTCTAAGCCACCTTGCATTTTCCAATATCCATTTTGGAATCACACATCAAACCTTTGCATCTTCCATAGTTCTCTAGGGAGCTCGGAAACTAAAGGACTCCAGTATAAGAGTACAAGAATGGGAAGTTTGACAACGTCATCTTTATAGTTGGTTAAATGCACCTTTAAGCTTTAACAATGTACCCCATTTTAATACACCAGCCAGCTGTTGGTCTCCAACACAAGGCATGAAGCAAGGAATTAAAGTGCTGACGAGTGTTCACTTAACATACAGTACAAAGGAATGGTAAACTACATATAAAACAAAAAATGCATTTTAAAGAGAACTCCAGGACAAAGCCCAAGAACTGCAATGAAAACCTACCTTAGTACAAAGTACATTTTTCTTTACATTTACAGGGGAATAAATGTCAGAAGGACCTCCCATGCTTCAGCTAATACACCATTTAATTTTAAGAGTCTCTGTAGGGGTTATTTTGATCATGTCTCTAACCTTAACACACCTTCCATACAGCAGGATTCTTATCAGAAGCCCAGCAGGATGGCCACTCCACACCAAAGTAAGAGCCCCCCACATAATCATTAAAGCAATACAA